GATGGCGGTACGTGTGAACGTGGCATGCGTGTTTGCCCCGACATGATTGCGATCGTGGAAATGTTGCGGTGGGCCGTGGCTCCATGGCAACCAGTAACCCTTGGCGATGACGGAGAGGACAAGGCTGCTGGGGCACCATGAGCTCCACCACGCAAATGTCGCGCGAAGACGACCGCGCATGTGTGTAATAGTTCTGTCTGTAACGGCAAATTCGTACGGATCGTCGTGGCATGCCGCCTCGCACCGTCGTGCTCCTGTACATTTGAGGCCAAGTGGTATAAGCTTTGAGTATTCCACGTTAAAGCATGCGTGTGCATGTACTTGTACGGGCAACCATTGATCGAAGGTGTGAAGAGAATGAACAATTGAATGAAATGTCAACGAATGTGTCGGGAATGTTAACGCATGTCAACGCATGTCTCTTCTTCTCCTCGTTTCCCCCTTTTTTTTTTTTTTTTTTTTTCTTGCCCCGTCGTCCACTTGGTAGGACATGGTTGTGCCTGCCCTTAGTGCGTAGGGGCTGATGCCTAGGGCCATGGACACCGTTGTCCATTGTGCTTTCTCTCATTCTCTCTTATCTCTCTCTCTCTCTCTCTCCCTCTCTCTCTCTCTCTCTCTCTCTCTCTCTCTCTCTCTTTCTCTCTCTCTCTCTCTCTCTCTCTCTCTCTCTCTCTCTCCCTCTCTCTCTCTCTCTCTCTCTCTCTCTCTCTCTCTCTCTCTCTCTCTCTCTCTCTCTCTCTCTCTCTCTCTGCTCCTCCTCTTGATTTTCATAGTCTCTTTGCCAAAACCATAGGCCTTTAGGAAGGTAGTTTTTATTAAATCAACCAACACACATAGCAATGCTTTCCTAGCATGCCACCAAGTGGCCAACATATGGGACCGAGGGGTTGTTGTTCCCCTTCCCTATCCTAGGCCCAAGCCTATCCCACCCTTTACTAGGGCTGGCCTCTTGCCATCGCAAACCCCTAGGGTTGCCCACGGTTTTCGCACTCAAGAGTGCACCGTGCCTAGCGCCCAAGCGCCTAGTCTCATGGCCCGCTCCTACACCACCGGAGCGGGTCCCTGGCCTCCATGCCCGTTCCGAGGGCAGGCACTTGCCACGTGGCCCGGCTGGCCGCAGCGGAAGCATGAGCCCCGGAACCCACGGCAATTGGCCGTGGGCGGGGGGCCTCGCTTGGGTAAGAACGGCATCGGCCCGTTGTTTCCGCCGCGGTTGACACGAGCGTATCCGCTTGCCGCACGGTCCATCGCCGCCATGTCCGCGACCGCCTGCTTGAAGGGTCGAGAAGTCAGCAGGCTCTTCTGCTGGTACAGCTTAAAGCGCTTCGCCGTGCGAAAGTCGGAGGTGTCCTCCACTTGAAGCACCTCGAAACGCCCCGCGATGAGGTTGAGAGCGTGTGAGATGAGTTCGAGTCCGCCCGCCGGATCACCGCGCTGCGCCTTGTATTCGGCGTGCAGCAGGTACGCCCGCAGGTCCTCCAGTAGCTCCGCTTGCTCTCGCACGGAGTCGTTGACGAAGGTTGCCGCCGAGAAGGTAAGATTAGAAGAAGGGAGGGGGGGAAGGTTTTCCGTGCCAATAAAATTAACATTGTTGACTGGAGCCTCACCGGCTTCATCTTCAGAGTCGTCGGTGTCGTTGTCGACCGCTGGAGCAGGGGGAGCGGCAGTCGCTGCGTCGTTGTCATGCCGGTTCGTCCGTGCTCCCCGTGTGCCTTTCTCCTTTTTTGCAGTTTCTTTTTTAGCCGACGCAGATGCGGCGGGTAGTGCAGTTTCCGCGGCTGTAACGCTGACGGGTTGCTGCTGTAGAAGGGACAGCAGCGCGTTGACCTGGTCCGGGGTCAACGCCTGCGTCAGCGCAGGGGCGGCGGTCGCGTCAGACGAGGAGACTGCAGTCCGCCTCCTCTGACGCTGACGCGACGGTCCAGCAGCGGGTGCTGGCGTGTGCTTGGCGTCAGTCGCGTGTGCCGCGCCAGTCCCCGTCGCCACTTGCGCCACAGGTGCCACTGGCGCCACAGGGACCGAAGGGTGCTGCTGGGTTTCGGCGTTTTTGTGGACCTCGAGCCCGCCCAGCAGCACGTCCACTGCAGTCGGGGCGGAAGGTCCGTCTTCTGCCCGACGCTTGTTACGGCGTTCGCCCGCAGAATCGCGGGCGTTACGGTCGGAGTCGGAAGCGGGGGTTGACGAGTTCCCGTTGTTAAGTGTCGGCGTAGGTGCCATCGTGGAGCGATTGAAGTTGAAAATGTCGCTGAGTAAAGTAGAGGGTGACTCGCCTCTAGGAAGCGATTTAATCCTAGCCAGCTTGGAGGGAAAAACTACTCGAGCGGAAAATGTTGAGTGAACCGTTTGAAAATTGAGAAACGTGGGTGGAGGGAAATGAGCTCCAACCCACGGTTTTTGTAGTTGGAGAAGGGCGTTTAGCGCGCTTCGACGATGCCAATTGTGCAGTACAAGCAGCTTCGCTTTCACAATACACAATTTTAAAAAACACTACATGTGTGTTTAAAAATTATAATTTTTTCTAGGCAGGCAATGTAGTTGCAAGACAGATTACAACACAAGTCAGGTTCGGGACAGGTTGTTATGGGGCACAAAACCTCCTATAGGCGGAAATGTCTCGAAAGTGTCTTGCAGGACGGTTTCGGGACAGATTCTTGACAGATGTGAGACAGATTGGTTTTGGGACAGATTGGGGACCGAGCAATTTTGGTGATGACTCGCTATCATTCGCACACCGTCACATCACACAGGGAACGTCGCATGCAGTTCCTCGCCGTCTTCTGCGGACTGTTGCACGGGAAACGTCGCACGCGGTACGTTGCATGCCGTTGGTCGCACATCATCGCATGCGGAGTCCGCACCACGCCGCACGCGGAAAGTCGCACGCGTGAAGGCACCAGTTTCCGCATAACGTCAGACGCTGTAAGTCGCCGTCTTCCGCAGACGGTCGCACGCGGTAAGTCGCAATTGTCCGCACACCGTCGCACAGGGAACGTCGCACGCGATTCGTCGGCATCTTCCGCACATCGTCGCATGCGGTATGCCGCCAGCATCCACACAAAGTCGCACGTGGAACGTTGCACGCAATTGGTCGCCGATTTCCGCACGCGGTAAGTCGACATCATCAGGACATCGCCGCATACAGAGCGTCGCATGCAGAATGTCGCACGCGGAACGTCGCGCGCGGAACGTCGTACGCGGAACGTCGTACGCGGTTGGTCGCCATCACCCGCATGGTTGCTCGTGGTTCGAGAGCCGCTCGCCGATTTCCGCGCACGTTACTAGTCCCTCCCTGTTCGTCACTACTAGTGGCGTTCGCCATTCGCTGCTCACCGCTCGCCATTCGACAGTCGCCGATCGCCGCTATTCGCTCTTCTTTCGCTGGTCACGTCAGGTCAACACCGACGACGGCCTCGCATCCCGAGGTGCGACGACGGTCCCCGTGTCGCCGTGACTCGGCGTGACGCCGGATGCCGGCATCGCGAAATTGGGAAGTGCGGAAAGTAGCCCTGAATACACTCTTGCACAACTTACCCGATAGTACACCCCCGGCACTTTTGAGTCAAGGTTTTAGAACTGCGTGGCGACAGTCACTGGCGTAGTAACTTCCGAGTCACTTTCCCGCGCCTTTCTGCACAAACTCAGTCAACCGTTTAGCAACGCCACCCGCATCTGCGCACATGCTAAACAGTCACGGGCTGCTCCACCCAAATGTTCACCTGCCCATACCGTGTCAACCAACTCGAAAGCGACGAGCACGTAACCCCAACTGCCAATCCGTACGGGCTTCCCCACGTGGCATACTGTTTCAACTCCCACGTCCACGTAAGCGTACATGCAGCAAAACGTACAGCAACCACAACCGTTGGATGGACACCCTGGTCACGCAATCACTACGGTACACGTGTCGCATGTACATAAACTCGCATAGCACGTTACGCATTCGCGCACACAAACTCGCACAGCCTTGCAAGCTCACCGCGCTCCGATCTGCACCGTACATCTGGTGGTCAAGCATCCTTCCCACACCGTACATTTGGATGCATCCCATAGGGCAGCAAACCGCATATCACGCCAACGGTAGCCACTACCCCTCATCCACGCGGCCTCACTCCACTTGCGCATCGTGCGTCCGCACCAGACGCGCCAATGCATAAACACCGTACACCTGAACCAATGCCACCGTTTCGTGCACTTCGCGAAAAGTCTCGCCTACCATTAGGGTTGCGCTCGCAACTAGATGACGACGACACCTGCGTCGTCCATCTGTATACATCGTAAACACCACCGACCTTCCACGTCACGCACAATTAATCCATCTTACCCGTACACTTGCAACCCGATCATGCAATCGCACAAACGGTAACCGGTTGCCCTACCCATCGTGGCTCACGTTTGTGACGTATGCGCGAACCACTCACAACCGTGCATTTGTCGCACCCGTATAGCATATCACAGCGCACATCCCACCGTCGGCCTCATCTTCACGCTCGTCCACGATTGTGACACGGGTGTACAAGCGCGTGCCACCCTCCCATACCATTGGCTCCACGTCATCCCTTAGCCTTGTTGCGGTCCAACCAGATGTCCACTTACGCGCACCGCTGCGTCCTTTACGTCCAACGTACAGGTGACACATGGCACACACCGTAAAATTCGCCGCAGAATGCGGCGCATCCCTCTCCGTCCCGCACATCTGGGCGACGGCGGGTTCGCTGTGGCATGCACCATATAGTTTCTGTTATGTGCTGTCATATGCGAGCAATACCCCAATTGAAGCTTTTCCCATTAACAACAAACGCACACACAAACATACAACGCCTCCACGCCTATGTCTAACCCCCCCACATCTTCAACACTGACACATGCTTAACCCAGGTGCGCGTTCCACAGCTACACATAACCCTGTCACACAGCCGCAAATCATCGTACACACGCAGCCAATCTACTGTCCCCGCAACGGTAAAACCCACGCTTCCCCCATCCCCTCCACGCCAGCCGTCCTACTCATCCCCCACGGATGCCGAAAGGTCGTCGTCCCCCACTGGCTCCTCCGGCTGGGCTGCGCCGGCGGACCTCATGTGCTCCAGGCCGCACGCAGAGATGCGCAGACCATGGCGCCCCCAGATCCACGCCTCCCGCTCCGCGTCATACTCCGGGTTGCGGATCCTGATCGCCCTCTCCACGGCCTCCTTAACCAGGACCTTGAGGCCGTCCACAACGTGGGCGTTTCCGCCGGCCGAGTTGGAAAGCCGGCCTTTCCTCTGCTCCCAGTAGAGGACGCAGTCGGAGACCTGCGCCATCACGCATCGTGTCACTCAAATGGTCCGACGTAAACAACACAGATGCATGGCACACATAGAGCGCACAGACTCACCACATGCTCCAACCAGGCCAGGTGGTACACCTTCAGCGTCATCACCAGGCCGGCCTTCTTGGGCCTGAATGCAGCCTTCGCACATGTCGCGAACGCCCGAGAGGCGAACGGCATGCCATCCCGGTCTGTCGCCCATGTCGTGAGCACCAGTGTTTCTGCATTCCCACGTGCATGCAGGTCAGTGTCAACGGCCGTCACGCACGAGGGTGACAGCATAACGATGCGGTGGCAAGCCTGGTTGCTGGGGTAGACCGCACTCACCAGGGGGGTCAGCGCCGAACCCAATGCGCTCCCGGATCTTCTCAATACTGCGTTCCTTCTCCGGTGCCCATGGGCTGGATGCGTCCCGATCGTCGCGGAACAAGCCGAGCTTGGGAAGTGCAATGTCGCGCACGCGGGCGGCAGCCCGCGTCTTCCACTCAGAGAGTGTCTTGTTGAGATCAGCGCGACGCGACTTGTCAGCCGCCAACGCCAAACAGGCGAAGCTATGCGGCAGGCGGTCCAGCACCGCACACACCCCGTGTGTCTTGTCGTCGCTGCTCGGGTAGAAGGTCATCATCGACGTCGGCCTGTTGAGAAACATGTGCACCCTGGCCAGCTCGCACACCCGCTGCGCACATAAGGTATACACAACAACATGAGTGGCGCACACCGGTATGCATGACGGTTGAATAATGGAACCGGACGGGAACGGGCCCGCTCACCTTCCACGCCTTGTCCGCAGGCAAATGCTCCAAGGCGCGCTGCAGAATAGGAGACTTGGCCGTGCGCATATGACGGCCACCAGATCCATGTGTGTCGTCATCGTCGTCCTCGCCGTCATCGTCTGACCCGCCACTCCACGTCTCGCCACGCTTACGCTTCGGGTTCATACAACCCTGCCCCGGGTCTCTCTGCCTGGTCGCCTTACGCTTATGAGAGCCACTGGACGGCCGAGACATCGCATTCAAGAACAGCGCCTCCAACCGCGCGTTCTACTTGGCGCTCTTGTCCTGAGCCTGAATGAGTTGCTCGAGGATACGGCTCGGTATGCGCACGTCATCGCTGTTGGCGTCCACTGTGTCCCAGCGTGTGGGTCCCACCAGTCCGTCCACGTCGTGATTAGCGCGAGTGTCAGCGTTGGCCGCGGATGGTCCCGCACGCCCATCGTCGTCCGTCTTCCCCCCCTTAGCGGGCTCGGCTGATTCTTCGCCTGATCCTGATGCCGACGTGTCTCCGCCTTCCTCGTCCTCATCCTCGCTGCGCTCGGACGAATCTGCACTCTCCGCCCCAGTGCCGTCATCTGTGGGTGACAGAATGACAACAGGCGCACAGAACCGCAAGTTAGCATACGCGCGCAACAACCGCCGCGAACGTCGTGACTGATCCACTCATGATCGTAATGCATACCTTCCTCTGGCTGCACCACCTCCTTCCCCTTCTTGCGGAAGCTCGGGCTCTTGGGTAAGGGCGCCCCACGGTTCCCGTTGGACAGTCGACCTCGCGGCATCGTCAACTGGTATGACGCTCGCAGGTACGCAGGCGGGAGCGAGACACGACGGGAGCGTCCCCCAGCTCGGGTATCCTCAGAAGCAATTGAGGTATCCATTGAAGCAACTGAAGTATCCAGTGAGATGCGCACATAATGACGCGATAACCACTTTTCTACGTAGCGGTGAGATGCTCAGCTTCCATGACACTCCGCTGCACCGAATACATGAGGAGGTTGGTACCCAATACTGCCTCGTACACATCTGGATGACCGCAATCCAAAACCCCCAATTACAGAACACCACGTCACTCGCACATTGACGGGTGTCCACCCCCGAACCATACACTGCGCACATCATGTGGTCACAACATTGTCCACATACCTTCATTGTGTGGACACTCGTCACGGAACTGGTTCCGGTATTCGTTGAGGCCCTTACTCACTTAAACATGTAGTACACCAAGTTCACGATTGCATTACCAGCTAACGGTGTTTGTCGTTCATACTTTGCACGCACAAGACTCTTCATTCCAAATGCAACATTATCCGAAAGCTACACAAGGGTGAGCAACTACGTGCACGGACATGTTTCAACCACACATTGACTCCACACCAATTATGCAGCCATCTCTGATGTCTTCTCCTCAGCTCCAGTGTCTTCCCTCCGCTCTTCCTGGTCATTGTCCCTTGCACCTCCGCCTTGCTCGTTTGTCACTGGGGCCGTCCCCCCACTCTCAGCATTGTCGGTTGCCGCTGGGTCGTTGGTAGCTGTGTGGTCGTGGTCCACAACCCTTCGCCTCTTTGATGCACCTGTTGCACCCCCACGCTTCCTCACTCGTTTCAACCGCTGGCCCACGCTCTCCAGCGCCTCACGCCAACTCCTCCACCTCCACCACTTCCTCGCTTCCACCAGGGTCTGTAAATCTTCTTTGGTGCACCCCCGCAGCGTTGCCTTCTCTGCGGCCGACAGGCTGACGGTGTTGGGTATCCTCTCGCTAGGCCTCAGCACGAACGCACCGGCGGCGTATGCAAATGCCGCCTCCTCCTCAGTGGTGTACCCTCCCAGTCTCTGCTGCTTGCGCTTCCCACGTTCTTTAAACAGAATCTTGACGCAGTACTTGCCGGTGTTCGGATCCAGCTTCACACCCGTGTACCTGGTTGCACATGTATCTTCGCCACCGTCCTCGTCATCTGAGTCTGACACGAGATCCTCCTCTTCGTCGGCCTTCGCCGTCTCCTGCCCAAGCCTGTCTCCCCACACGTCAGGTCCAGCTGGCACACCCGTGCCGGACAGCAGCCGCGGGCGCGTCAACATCCAGGGAGGTATGGCCCCGTTCGAGATCAGCGGGTTCTGCAGCAGGCTCGGTGTCGGCGCACATGCGGCGAACGTGGAGGCCAGCGCCACCTGGGTGAGGTTGCGCACGCCGTCCTCCTCAGGACTGCTGTCATCTCGCCTCTTCCGGGCAGACGGACGCTGGGGTGTGCGTGGCGCATGCTTGTTGCCACCCGCCTCTGTTTTCGTGCCGTTCCCCGCGACCCCTCCATGCAGCAGCAGTTGGGTTGCAGCGGACACCACCTCGTCCCGGCTCAGGCCCACGAAGTTGGCGATCACGGTGAAGCTGGCGTCCAGGTACCTCACATCGTTATGCAGCGATGCTATGCGCCTCGTCATCTCCGTAAACCGAGCGTCCTCATCATGGCGAGTGTTTGGCGCCTGCCTCCCATCTCCCTCCGCAGTGTTTCTCACCTGCACCACTGTCCCCTCTGCGGTAACCAGGCCTTCGTCTTGCGGCGGGACTTCAATCCCCAGTTCCTGTAGTTGTTTCAGAAGCTCTCCGCCAGCGTGTGCACACAAGTCTCGGCGCATCTCCCGCCTGTATTGGTGCGGTGTCACACCCTGGAACCAGAGGCCCGAAAACACCGTGGCGAAGTCGGTATGCACCAGGGTCTTGAGGTACTGACAAACAAAAATCCCACAGTCCTCCTTGTTCGGCTGCTGTGGCAGCTTATCCTCCTGTCATAAGGGTAACGAATACCGAAGTTATCAGTATGCACACCTGTGTATGCAACCAGCACAGCTGTGTACAGAACGAACGAGGCGTACTCACCCGTAGAATTACGCAGTCCGCCGCGCTCAGCGTCCTGTCCACAACCTCCATGTTAGCGTTTGGGTTACTCGCCTTTGCGAGTTCGGACAGCAACCTGCATACAAGAGTTCGTCCGGTATTAACAAAATTGAGCATGGACGTATATGCTATGCGCTTCGTTATGCCGAAACCCCTACTCACAGCTTCGTGCCTGCGAAAATCTTGTGGCTATTTCGATTCTTGATCGCGCTGTCCAGCAAGACCAAAGTCAGGCGCTCCTTGCCCTTGGTTCTCTGCGTCTTGGTGAGCACCGATGGGTTTATAGCGATGACGAGGGAATAGTGCTCACTGCGCGCAAGAAGATTGGGGTGAAACGGGATCGGTGTTAAACAGCAGTCGGTTGCACATCACGGAAACCAACCGGGAACACTGGTAAGATGAGTACACTCACGACTCTAGGACCGGGATCGCAAGATAATCGTGTTCCAAAATCGGCCGCCCACTCCCCAGCGTTAACGGCACTCCATGCGCAGCTGTCGTCTGTGAATAGGCCTTGCAGTCCATGGCGGCCCATGTCTTGCCGTCGCGGAGCGACGGCTTCCTGATGCTAAGCAGCCTGCGCAGAGGTGAACACGAACAAGTTAACACACCGTGCTACAGTGAGATGCGCAGAAAATCGTACAAAAGCGCGCGCATGTGCGGGGCTGTCAGCACGGTACTTACACGTTGTGAAAGTCCACCACGCCATCGGTGATCCACTGTTCGTCCTCGATCGACATGAAGTCGTCCTTGTCCACCTCACATCCGACACCGCGGTGATTCATGAGCCTGATGTTGCGGTAAGATGATTTCGCATAGTTCCGGGCGATAGCGGCCACCACATCGTCCGGCACCGGCTCTGTCGCCTTTTCCACGACATGGGTCGCGAACCTAGAAGCCCTTCCGCCGTCCTTTGTCGGCGGACACGGAGGTGATTTTTTGTCGCCCTTGGTCGACGCTCTGGTTCTGGGAACAGACGGGTCAGGATCTTGGTCATCGCCGCTGCTGCTAGTCTCCGGTTCATGGAACCGGTTGCGCTTAGAGACAGACTGTTTAGGAATCGCCATCAAGAACGGACACTGAATACCATGCGGAGGAGGCCGGCCTTAATACGAGGTGAGCACGGAGGGGATGACTGGGAGAACACAGCCACTCACGGATCTCGCCTGGAGGGAACTACTCTGATTGACGGGTGGGCCAAGATGTCGCCTATAACCTGGTGGGTGTTGGGCATGCATAGGCGAAATGGTATACACCGTTGGATGAGATGCGCATGCGATGTCCACATGTGACTCGATAACGAGACTGGATGTGATGGTGAGGCAGCATGCATATCCACGTGTTGTAAACCAAGGGGTTCGGAACACGAGGATGCGAGATTTAGGGTGGGTCAGCAATTCTGGTGCATGGAACACCATTTGGTTTTCCTTGTACAATCCAAGTGACGCGGAATCCGATAACGGCGTACGCGGACGTCAGCACTTGGGTTGTTGGGCCACCAGCGCGCACTAAGTATGGGTTGTACACGATGTAGTCGTGTACTCTTAAAAGCGGAAGTAAAATTTGTAGGTTGTCGTAAACAATATTGCAATATGCATAACGGGTATATGACGTGCAAAAACAATACACAACGTCTTATGGAGCCAACTGTGTACAATCCCACGACGTCAGTTATTGGCTATTTCTATTTCTGGTCGTACTAATTAACGCGCTGATAATTCCGGGTCAAAAACGGGGAGTGTTATTTACCGGACCACCGTTACACATTCTGCAATTATAATATGGTTGTGCATTATGGTTGGGTGTATAATGTTTACCGGTGACAATCGAACAGATGGTATGTGCACACTTTTCAAGGTTCTGTGCACATGAGTGTGCACCATGTTGATCCTCTGAGTTGTGTTAGAGCACACCTGTGGCCAGTCCGAGTTTCTATCGCCACGGTCTCTAGGGTTTCAAGGTTGCAGGATGACGGGGAACAGTTGCATGGTGTGCGAGACGGTGTTTAAGGACGACAGCCGGTTACAGTCACATGTCGCTAACGGTGCAATTTGTCGCGCAGAGTTGAAGAGGAAACGGGAGAGTCTTTTGTTGGCGGCATATTTGGAAGCAATTGCCCGTGACGGAGAGAGTAGACCAAACACACCGCCCGCATCGCGGCTTAAGGATAATGACGGCAGTGTTGTATCGGTTGCTCCGACCGCCTCTATTCCCGAAGTTAGCCTGGTTAGCGTCGCGGATACACCAGCTGACGGCGAGAATGCGGAGTCATCGGAACACAGCGAGAGGGCGGAGATTTTCGACACACTGACCGAGTTGTATCTATTCTTCCGTGACGCCGATCTTTCGCACCGGGAAGTTAACCGTCTGTTACACATTTTCCGCAACCCGCGCTTCAACTTACGGGCCCTCCGACGATGGCGCAACTGGGTGGACGTGCGCCGATGGGGAATGGCGCGCGCTCCAGCAGACATGGTCCCGTGGAAAACGGAGGAGATAGTGGTGCGGGGCCCCAAAGGAATGCAAATGAAGCTGCTACTGCACTACCGCGACACAGAGCTGGTTCGTAAACGGCGGCCACACCCGCATCCCCCGTCGTCGTCACTGGGAAGGAATCTTGCCGCTCACTCCTGATTATATCCCGATGCGCGCAGATTCTGAAGAAGCTGGTGCGGACGTTCTCATCCAAGAAAGGGTTCGTGTGGAAACCTAAGAAGATTCATCGGAAGAAGAATGGCGAGAGGGTATTCGAGGGGCCGGAGACGGGCGATTGGATGCACGCTGCTCAGGTAAGTGCATCGGTAGGCCAGTCCACATTACATGTGAGTCCCAGAATGCTATAAGACGGAGTCTAACATTTGTGCAAGGGCATGTATGGTTGGCATGGCAGAAGGAGATTAATGACAGTGAGGCACTCATACTAGGCGTGCTGATATACAGTGATAGCACCCAGGCATCACGGAATGGTCGGAGGAACGCGTGGCCGGTGCT